CAATGCAAGACTTCAAAATATAGTCAATGACTGTGAAAGTTGGCCAGCCTTTACGTACGTACTACCTCTGGGCAATTGCCCATTATCTATCCCTGTAAGACAGTTTTTCCTATGTCTCATTTTCTTTTCAGTTTTGTTTTTTTGGGGGGACGGGGGGGATTTCTTTTTTTTTTTTCCAGTGTTTTTTTCCCCACTATTTTAAATTGTCAGCATTATTTTTTACAATTCACGAAGCTATGTATTTCATCTTTGCATCATTTCCAATACTGGAGGTATAAATTGTATAAAGACTTTGAGAGTTGCAATTCATGTTATGTATTTTTTGCAAATTTGACTCCAAAAAAGTCCATTACCACAACATTGACTTTGTGTGTAAGCACCGTGTATTATGTAAAAATGTTGTAACTTCCTCAGTAAATGAAGAGATGTCTTTTTGTACATCTCCATTTGTGAAAGATAAATTTATCAAGATCTCACTCTTTAGGTGACTGTACATGTGGTGGTAACCCACTGCAGTTTTTGATCCATCTTGTGAAAAGACTTAGGTTGTCCATCAAGGTATTTCAGATTACCACAGTAATATAGGTGGGTGCACACAATCACCAACCATAGTGATATGCATTTATATATTTTGCTTTTTGACCTATTTCTTTATGAATACAGTTTGCTCATAATGGTTATACCCATGCAACTGCCATTAGTATACCTGAGTGTTTATGCTTGCAAAAATAAGTATGTTATTATTACTATTTTACTGTGAAAAGTGACCTACGAAGTGTTCTGTCATGTTTTTATATATGTTGGGATTTTTATCTTCTGGGATTGTGGTTTTCCAGATTTTAGACATTAGGGATCTTTTAGGACTTCAACATTTGAGGAACGTTACAGTGTTCAGGATTGTATCTTTCAGGATTATGGCCCAAACCCCTACCTGACCTGGAGCCTAAATCTGTGGCCCTATGGTCTCATTCAGTGGGCCTCAGTCCACCCCTTTGAACCACAGAGCATCTTGCTCTAACACACAAATTGTGTTTCCCTCTCGTTCCTGAGCTTAATCTCCCAAAATCCTTTAAGTATTCCTCAACTGTCTTAAATTTTAAATTCCTTCACCATGCTGGTTATGCCTCAATTTGTTTTTTTGGGTTTTTTTTGTTTTTGTTTTTTTAAAAAAGATGACCGGTAAGGGGATCTCTACCCTTGGCTTGGTGTTGTCAGCACCACGCTCAGCCAGTGAGCAAACCGGCCATCCCTATATGGGATCCGAACCCGGGGCCTTGGTGTTATCAGCACCGCACTCTACCGAGTGAGCCACGGGCCGGCCTTCAATTTGTTTTTAATTTCAAAGTATCACTCCCACAAATGATTGTAAAATTCCAACATCATGGGACTTAGGAAAGGAACTCTACCGAGTGAGCCACGGGCCGGCCTTCAATTTGTTTTTAATTTCAAAGTATCACTCCCATAAATGATTGTAAAATTCCAACATCATGGGACTTAGGAAAGGAGCTGAAATGCCATCTCCTTTATTCTAACATTACTATATTTATTAGTGATTTGAAGAGATGATAATTTCTTGATTAAGTATAAAGAAATTAGCAGTGTGAAGAACATAGGGAAGGCAGCTTTCCTTCCAAACATAAATAGACTCATGTCACAGAAACAAAATCCAAAAAGAAAAAAGAAAACATATCCCTCCCTTATCCCAAAATGAGCGTTTAACCGTACTGATTATATGGAATACGTTTTGTCTGAAAGATGAGATGTAAATGCTATTTCACTGCTTTTTATTCTCTAGCTGTCTCAAAAGTGTTATTATAGTTACATCAAAACATATGTCAGGACCATGGTTGAGGGAAGTAAGTAACCACTTGCAGTTAAAACAAACAAACAAATTCTAGCAAAAAGGAACGGCAAGCCCTAGAAAAGCTCTCCCAGAGGCTAATAGAGCAATGATCTCTAAGTACTTCTAACCATGAAATACAGTGTTCAATGGGATTAAGAAATGAAAAATGTCTGTTTTTAAGGTCATTAGTTTGATATGTGAAAAAAAAAGAAACTTTTTTTTTCTGATTGTAGTAAAATGATATCCATGTGGCTTGGTTTATTTTTTAAAAAAAGATGTTTTGCTGTAGTCAGAAAAACAATTCACAATCATTTGCAACTGCTATTTATTCAGAATGAATGATTAACTGAAAGTTGATCATGGATCTGGAAGAATTACGGGATAGCTTAAAGGGTAAATGAGGCAAATCACTGACCTAACACTGTGGAAGTCACCAGTGTCCTCCAAAGGCATACATTCAGGAACAGAGGAAGAATCCAGTCCTCTGTTGCATGTGCCTCCTCCCTCCAACAAGTTTAAATGCTTAAAATAAATAATCCTAACCTAAATATCTTATTTTGGTCAGTGGTTTCTACCTTTTTTTACCAAACTAAATCAGAGCTTGCCACACTGTCAAATCAATCCATATGAGTTTCGTTTTTAATTATTTTCTTGCTACTTTATTCAGGGAGAGATGTTAACATGAAGGAACTAAAAGATGAGGGAAAAGAAAGTCCAGGAAAAGTCAATGGCCTAATCTGAGTAATCCACAGAAAAGATAATTGGCCCTGTATAATAAAAAATTAAATGTTAATATAATTCAACAGATCTAATAAAAGCATATAAGGGAGTAAAAAGCCTTGCATAGGCAAAGAAGAAAGTATAAAATCCTTTGAGGATATAGTCTACACGAAGCCATGCTAAAATATCATTAATATCACCAAACTGCAAGATTTCATAGATTTTCCCAAGCCTGACCCCATGACGCCAATATCATGCATTGTCACTGGAAACTTTTAAAAGTTTTGCCATATGTTTAATAACTTTATTAAAAAGAGAAAAAGATCACACCAAAAATGGAAGAGACATGGACTCTGGTAGTCTCATTAGTCAGACCAAGCCAAACTAAATCACGATAAAGCAACTCTCTTTTTTTATCCACCATTAAATGAGGAATCATTTCTTATCCAAAGAAGGCTCTTACCTTAGCAAATATTGCCATGAGCATAAGAACTATTATTAGGCAAACCAATAACCTTAGGTCTTGACCTGGGTTATGAGGATTTCATTTAATTAGTGTCCTTTCTCAAGTTCTACTTGAAAGAATTTCTGTTAAACCAAAAAAGCCTCTTGTGGCACTAAAACATTTATTCATATAAGATTTATTGCACCTACAATATTGTCAGGGATTGTTCTCAAACTTGAGATATATCATTAGACAAGTGTCCATAAGGCCTAATCTGGAATTCACACAACTAAGAAAGAAAAGAAACAAAACCCCACATTCTCTTGTGTCCCTGCTGTGGGCCATGGATGGGGGACTATAAGCTACAGAAAGGCTGGCAGGAGTAACAGGGAAGAAAGGAGCCAAAAGCAGAGCTTTCTAAGCCCCTTCTGCATCTGACCAAGTGTAGATAGAAGAGGCTAAGCCCTAGAAAATAAAAATTTCATAATAAAAGTGTGGCCCTAGAAGCTGTTATTTTGCAACTAAATTAATCCAATTTAACAAAGCCCTTTCCTCTAAGTTCACAAAGCAACCTTACTTTCAACACATTTTTTGCCATGGGTCAAATTTGGGTCATCATGTGGTGGAGACATTGGACTTTTGCTCTAAAGGAAATTTAATAAATTTAAACTTAGGGACATGTCCTCACAGTTTAAAAAGAGAAGTTCTTCTGCCACCTTGATTAACTTGTTTTTCTAGATACTTTTAGTTGACGGTGGCCTAGTGGAGAAGATGGGAGGGAAAGGCAACAATTACTATAAATTATTTTGGTTTTTATTAAAGTTATTTTTCTTTCTTGTAGAAACAGATTCTAAAAGAAAAACAATTCAAACTTCTACGATCCCCTTCTCTTTCCCACAGGATCAGAAAAAACACAATGAGGCCAACCAAAATTATCATTCCCTTAAACAATATGTACAATACCATGTGTAAGAGAATGGTCACTCTGAAACCTGCTAGAATAATGCTAGAAATGCTTTATCAATACCATGTCTCTACATGACTCATTTCTTTACAATTAAATAGCTTTCAAACATTAACATATCAGGACCAAGATTGTCACCATCTACAGCAACAGTGGAATTACATATCATATCCTTATTCCATTGCTCATCCCTCAGTTATGCTAAGCAGCTAAGAAATATCTGACAGCATCAACAGCATACAGGTTTAATTATTTTCCCAATTTGCATTTATATCAGTGAACAAATTGGAAGGTATCAAAGTATGGCACTGAAGAAATAAGAACACATATTGAGCAGCACATCTTCCATTTTAAGTCCTGTTTTTAAATTGGCTAAGTAAAGGCATACACATCTCCATTTGAATTGGAGATCTGCAATAACACATGCATATAAGGATGGGAAGGATGGAGGGGGTGACGGAGGGAGAAAAGGAGGACAGAGGGTGAGACCAAAAAAGAGAGAGAGGAAAAGAGAAAGAAACAGGAGAGAATATATGGTCACACGTCTGAGAGTAACATTATTACAAGGGGGTGATAAACGACAGCTCAATCTGCTTCCACAAGCAGAATTCTTCCATGGTTATTATTGAAGGTACAAAAATTGTTTGTGAGACTTTCTATCTGTTGCTATTCTCACTTATTATACTAAAAACGTCTACAAAATCCGAAGCATTGGTCTGTCCAAGATGGATAGTACCAAAAGTAAAAGATCTGCTATCAAGGACTGTGCTCTGCTTGGAACCCTGCACTGCAGTCCATTAATCCACAGTATTTTGGTCATATCTGCTCTGTTTTCTCATGCTGCTCATAATGTCTTAGAGCTAATCTTTTATATTAGAATATCATCAATGATTTGTATTTTTTTTTTCATTTTTCAAACTTTTTCATTTACTTAAAGGGCAAGAAAAATGAGAGAATAGAAAAAAATAGTAGAGATCATAATGTCTTAGAGCTAATCTTTTATATTAGAATATCATCAATGATTTGTATTTTTTTTTTTCATTTTTCAAACTTTTTCATTTACTTAAAGGGCAAGAAAAATGAGAGAATAGAAAAAAATAGTAGAGAATTAGAGGGGAACATGAAAGGAAAAGTATTCTCTTGTCCAACAAATCCACCCTAGAAAAGGTGGTAATGAGACTTTGAGAAGAGTGCTGATTCATGGACTTCCCCCCTATTTTTTTTTTTTTTTATTTCTATGTAATACATTTAAGGACATCAATGTACTAAAACATTTGGTCTGTGAAACAGTGGAATCATTAGCACCAAAAGGAGTCATGGAGCTTCTATATATTATTAAAACAATGATTGTTATTACTGTTGGTCATGGGTAAAGGTTTCATTTCATTTTTACATCCCAAAGTTCTTGAAAGTGCCTGTGGACAAGAGAAACAACACTTTTCAAAATCTCCGTGGGATTATCAGTACGCACCACAGAGAGTACTTGGCCTTCCCAGTTTTCGTTTATCTGGTAGACAAGAAAACCAGGGCCCTGGAAGATGACCACTGAAGCCCTACAGAATAGCCCCCACATGCACCCACAGACGTGCAGGAGGGGTCCCTATGGTACATTCCCCCCTGGACTGTGTTCAGGAATGCACTTTTACTTGCTTTTTAAAGAAACAAAAGCAACATGCTCTGCAGATCATGGAGTGCCTAGTGCAATTTTCTCCTTGCTCCAACTCCAGACTGCAAAAGGATGAAACCATTATATATTCTGCTAATGCTGGCCTGTGGACGAGGCCCTTGGCCTGCCATGCTTTGTAAGCTCAGGAGCCCACAGGAGTCAGAAGGTCCGAGAGCGGGAGCCACAGTCATCGCCAGATCTCCCCAGCAACTTGTGGCCCATCAGGACAGCTGCTGATTCCTTTTGCTTTTCCTTGCCTCAGCTTTTAGTTGAAATTACAACAAGTCAAATAGCTGATGCTTTTCCCTTCTCCAGGTAAGGGTGAGGACACATTGTTCACAAGTGTGTTCTGTCTGGCTTCACTGATGAGTCGGCATGCTAAGTCAAGGAAGAGTTTCTCCACATTATCAGATTCCTTGGCAGAGGTCTCCAGATAATACATGTCCTGAGCTTCTGAGAATTCCTCAGCTCTCTGCTGGGAGACCTCTCTCCTTTCAGCCAGATCGATCTTGTTGCCTGGAACAGTGGTAAAATCAAAGAAAGAATCATCATTTGACTTTTTGCAGGCTCAAAAGCATCAAAATGCAATTCCAGATCTGAAGTTAAACCAGACAGATAAGCTAGTAAAGCAAAGTAAATGTGACCGCGATTACGAAAATGCTTATTTTAAAATACGAGTACCATTTGTAATGGCAAAGAACTGGAAACCACAAAATGCCCATCAGTAGGACACTGGCTGAATAAACTGTGTGGTACATCCACACAATGGAATGTTTGCCATAGTAAAAAGTAAGGAGGAATATTTCTATATACTGCCATAGAATGAGAACACTAGGATATATCATTAAGTGGAAAAAGCAAAGCAGAAAAAAGTATGTATAATATGCAACTGTCTACGAAAAAAGGAAGAATATTAATATATATTACACAAACACTGTATTTGCTTATTTTTTAAATGAAAAAATTAACCAAAATTTTAATTTAAAAGATAATGATTACCTACGAAAGGAACAGGGTTGAGGAGATGGGGATAGAAACCAGATTTCTCTAAATATACTCTGTTTTATAGATTTGACATCAGAAACTTACACATTTTATATAATTATATAATTAATTACAACTATACAATTTATACAAAATTAAATTTAATAAGCAATACTTAAATATTGAAAGCAAAATTAAACAAATGAACACATTTATCATGTGGTGGTATAACCACACAGAGAGGAACTATTTCAAGTGAGTTTAAAATACAGTAATTTAACCATGCATCCCTAGTGGTATATACCCTAAGGACAAAAAGAATTGAAGAAAAAAAATCTTGAACGATTTTAGCAGTGGTCATGTGGATAGTAGGACTGGTATTATTATTCTGAGGATACTATATGTGTATTATGGGATAAAGAAAATGAGTAATTATGCTGGCATCATAGGGAACTGGGATTTTTAGCATGGGAAAAAGGAAATACAGACATAAGATTAATGGTGTTAAGTTAAAATTTCTGCAGTCCTGAATGATAAATGGAAGAATCAGTGTGAATAATTCATGGTGTATTTTATCTTTAAAAAGTTTCCTATCTCTATTCTCCAGGAAATCTGACAAGGGTGATATGTCAGCTGTTACCTGGTAACATTGTTTATGGTAAAAATGACCCCTGACTGATAAATTACATCTGGCCTGGGAATTCTATGAATGCATTATAAATACCACATGGAAAGCCATAACTCTGGTCTTCCCTGATCATGATGATTCTTCACTTGAAGAGATCCTGAAAGTTATGCCTGTGGAGTTGTTCTAAGAGATTTGGGCTCCTATGGGGCCAGAGGCTTCTGGGCCAGGGCAGATCCTGCACTTGCCTGAAGTGAACCTTGTTTTTTCACACCTGAATTGTGTGTGTGTGTTGGGGTGGGAGGGTGTCCGGGAAAGCTATGTGGACTGCTATGAGGACTACTTCCGCTGAAGTGGTATCCCTGATGCTGACCTGTTATTAAGCCCTGTTTCTTGTCCTGTGTGCTTTTAAGTTAACCTAATACCAAGTGTGGCCTGTGGTAATTTTGTGAGTCAGAACATTTAGAAGAGCCTAGTAAGACAACCCCCTTGTGGATGCTACAGAATTTACCACATGCACGCACACGTACACACACATATACACACAAGCTCTGTCCACCAAAAGGCCTGAAACAATGATCTACCCACTAGTAACAAGAACTCCTAGCACCTAGGTTGTAGCCTCTAAATACAACTTTCCATTAAAAAGAAACAGCCCTTCTTGAAGAAATGGCTAATTCCAGGTCAGGAGCAGGAAATGCACAAGATGCAAGGTATACCTGGAATATCTGTCATACCAGAAAGAAAGAAAATTGTCAAGGATTCCTGGGGTCATGTCAAAAGGGCTCAGGAGCCCATTAGAAGAAGCTCCCACTGTCAAAGTCGGAACTATTGAGGCATCAATAATAATCACTGCAAGGGACTAGAATACATCAAATATGTTTAAATTCATACATTCATAATAATATTAAAAATATAAACAAACTTCAGTAGTTACTTTTGGAAGATACTAGGGAACCAAGTCTTTACCTTGACAAATGAATATAAAAGAAAGAACAAAGCATTCTTCTTGCCTGTCCTCTGAGAACTGTGCCACAGAATAGCATATATGGAATATTTTTGCTAAAAAGAGAAGCAAAAAAAAAAAAAAAACAAACCCTGAACTCATCAGGCCTCTTGATTACCTACAAATCTGCAAGAAATACAAGTGCTGGAGGAATACATTAAATGACACCACAGAGGTGAAAAAAGTTAGACTTATAAACTCTACAAGACAAACAAATACTTTAACAATAAATTCAAAGAGAGAAAAAAAATGGAGGGGTAACCTACAGATAAAAGGAGAATTAAAAAACATAACAATCAGGCTGGCCTGTTAGCTCATTTGGTTAGAGTGCAGCCTTATAACACCAAGGTCACAGGTTTGGATCCCTGTACTGGCCAGCTGCCAAAAAAGGGGGGAGAAAAAAGACACAATAATCAAGTAAAACATATGGACCTTATTTGGCTTGCTTTGAACAAACTTTAAAAAAAATTATGAATCGGTAAAATTTAAACATTATCTAAATAGATTTTTGAGAGTATTAAGGAATTGTTAATATTTTGGGGGTGTGAAAATGGCATTATTATTAGATTTTCTTTTTTAAAAGATCTTACCTTTTAAAGATACATACTGATATTGAAAGATGAATTAATATATTTGGGATTTGCTTCAAAATAATCTAAGGGGTGGGTAGACAGAATATATGAGGAATAAATAAAAACTAAAATTGGTCATGAGTTGATAATTGTTAAAACTGAGTGATATGTACATGGGGGTTCACTGTACTGTTTTCTCTACTCTTGCTTATGTTTGAAATTTTCCATAGTAAAAAGATTTTTTTTAAAGCCAATACCTCGGGCCGGCCCAGTGGCGCACTGCTACAATGCGCCGCTTGGGAGCGCGGTGGCACTCCCGCCGAGGGTTCGGATCCCACATACAGACCGGTTCCCGCTCACTGACTGAGCGAGGTGCGGGCGCGACACCGAGGGTTGCGATCCCGTTGCCGGTCCCGGTCCGGTACGGGCGCGACACTGAGGGTTGCGATCCGTTGCCGGACACGAAAAAAGACAAAAAGGAAAAATAAAATAAAATAAAAGCCAATACCTCTTTCATATTGAACTAATTATCTCCCCTAAAATTCTCGTTTAACTTCATTAGATAAAAATCCCAAGTAGTAATAATTTGGGCAAAGAACTTCACCTCTCTGAGCCTTGGTTTCTTCATTCGTAAATTAGGGATTATGACACATAAAGTTCCTAGTATGATTCCTGGTACATATATACCAATTATAATGCTTATTATAAACTGTTTACTTAGCTTACTGTTAACCCTAATTTGTAACTTAGCAATGTTTCTAAGGTTCTGTATCTGAATTTCCAAAATTAGGTCTTGCTAGATTATACAGTAACATTCCTTCCTGTGAAAAAAACATTTAAGTAACCATATAGTTATTAACACTTTTCCATCACCATTAGAGTAGTTTTCAATGACCTGGTCCATTTCACTGCAATCCCATTTTTAATTGGTGTATTTTTCACCATAGAAAATCAACAGCTTTCCACCATTCTAAACAGAGGTTCTATCTTCCTACAAGATGAAACAAACTGCAGCACTTCCTTTAGTGGATTCTTTCTGAAACATAGCATTTCTCAAAGCAGCATAAATGTAAGAAAGGAAAAAAATAATTTAAGTCCATTTTTCAGGTAATAAAAAATTGCTTCAATAATGAATTCTTTATCTACTTAAAAGATATGTTTTATTTCTAGACCAGCAGTTTCCACATCTTGTAATCAGATTTCTTTTTAATGTTTAGTAGCCCACATAACTTTCATGACTATCCAACTTCCTCCCTAGAGTCCACACTGATAGAAAAATCAATCAACAATGTTTTCTACTTTATGTTTTAAAACCATCACCATATTAGGACATATTTCATTTTCTCTTCAATTTTCTTCAGTTGAAGAAATCAATGTTGACTGCATGAATTATATAGCTATAGACTATATTCTTGGAAGGTACCAAGATACAAGCTTTATGTGATTATAAATTCTCTGATGCCCACAAATCAAATTCCCTCCTCACTAATCTTTACTTACCCACTAACACAGTGATGACCTTGTTGCTGGCATATTGTTCTATCTCCCGCAGCCACTCAGGAAGGCAACGGAAGGATTCCTCACAGGTAATGTCATAGGTGAGGATCAAGGCATTGGCGCTTCGGTAATAACTCTGGGTAATGGACCGAAATCTCTCTTGACCTGCTGTATCCCAAATCTGTAGCTGTAAAGGCAAAAGAGAAGGATCAGACTAGAGAAGCAGAAAAGAAAGTAAGCATTGCCTTGCTTTATTTTGGAAATGAGAACACCTTCACCCAAATAATTTCATGGTTATTTTCTGCCTTTAAAAAAAAAGTACCTATATTTTGTTTTGTTTTTTAATTTGTTAGGCATTTCTGGATAGAGAGAAGGGCTTGTTTTTGTTTTTTTCTTTGTTAGATTATTTAAGAATATACCCTTTATTCTAAAAAAAAAAAAACTTATTGAGCATTTATTATGTGCTACTCTACTCTAAGCACTTTACATGTACTAACTCAATCCTCACAATAACCCTATGAGATAGGTACTATTACAATACCATTTTTTTCCCAAGGGCTTGTTTTTGTTTTTTTCTTTGTTAGATTATTTAAGAATATACCCTTTATTCTAAAAACAAAAAAACTTATTGAGCATTTATTATGTGCTACTCTACTCTAAGCACTTTACATGTACTAACTCAATCCTCACAATAACCCTATGAGGTAGGTACTATTACAATACCATTTTTTTCCCGTGAGGAAACTGAGGCACAATGAGATCAATGAACTTGTTCAGTGTCTCACAGCCAGTATGTTCTAGAGCCAATTCAACAAGACATTGTGGTCCCAGAGTTCATGCTCTTAACCAGAATGCTGTATTACAAAAGTCACAATGCACAGCAAGCTGTCATCTTGTGACTACTGGCATTTTAGTCAGCAAACAGAAAGGAGAAAATCCAACCTCACCACCTTTCCCAGTTTAAAATTCAAATAAATATATTAAGGTATTATCTTTGTTAATGAAAATAGGCACAATGCCATCGCAGACAAAAAATAATTTCCCTCCACCATTTTTAAGCTCTATGACTTTGGGCAAAATCACTTAGTCTCTTTCGGCCATCAGTTGTTTTTCATAAAAAGAGATTAATAATATGAAACCTGCTGAAAGTTCACATTTTCTGAGCTCATCTACCAGTTCTAAGACCTAATAATTGATGGTTCTGGTAACCAGTGTTTCTGGTAAGAAGAAAGCAAAATACTACTCACTTCTCCCTGAATTTCCCTGCACAGAGCAGGTGACTACTGAAAGAGAACTGTTCTCTAGAGAGACTGCTGAGTGTAGAACAAATCATAAGACCCTGAGAAATACAAACATCAACAGCAACAATAATCTTCTCTTCTACTTGTAAACATTTCGCACATCACAGGTGCATTCACCTCCACAGACATAACATGACTTGCTCAGGGAAGGCCTTCCGGAACCTTCAGCTTAGGACAGGTTCCCCATCTTCCACCCCACAGAGTTTCTCTTGCAACATATCATGTCATTCGCCCTTATGAAACCTGACACACTTGAATCATTATTTTTAATAATTTGTTTAATAGCTGTCTTCTCTGTTAGATTGAAAGCTTCATGAGGGAGAAGTCAGAGTCCATTTTACTCACCAAATACAGAGCCTGGCAAATAGCAGATGCTCAAATATTTATTCAGAGTCTCATTATAGTTCTAACAATAATCAGTGAGGTAGGCAAATTTATGCCTCCCCTTATTAAAAGAAACTGTCTCTTAACTGGTTACTTACAAAGCTGGGACTCAGACTCCAGGTCTTCTATTCCCAGTTGAAGACTCATTCCATACCACCATGCTGCCTTTGCCACCAACGACCAATTTAAATGTGCATCTATATCCAAAGAGGATGAATCAGTTGGTGTCACCCTCTGATACCAGTTTAGCTGAAGAGCTGATGAGTGACCAATAGTCCCCACCCTGAATTGGTGGCACACAGGCTGTCCTTTTATTTGAAGTTGCAGCTGCTCTTTGATGACGTACACAAAAGTCTGTGTATGCTAAAGGCAACCATACAGATGTTATGGTTTTTGCCTGGACAAAAGCTGTTTCTCTTCTCTACTCAAACCCAGGGACATGGTTCCCCTCTGCCAGGATGTGTCTAAGAACAACAGACTGTTGTTACAAAGCCATGCTTAGTCTCTAAAACTCTTGTGACTAGATTTAAATACTGTCAATCATTAGAAATTAGTATGTTCTCATACTGGCACATCTTAAGAACAGCTTTGAGAGTTTAAACCACTGAAATATTTTCCAGAATAATGATTGTGTGGCCTTGCCATGATATATGCTACTTTCTCAGAGGGGGCTTCTTGTTTCTAGCCCAACAGCTGATTATGGAGGATATTCATATTTCACTGCCTTTATCACTCAACTTGGTTGCACCATTATCTGCAAGTCATTTGCTTCTTTTCAGCATTTATAGGACATTAATATATGCAGGGCACTGTGCTAGGACCAGGGAGAATACAAAGATGAATAAAACACAATCCCTGATCTCAAAAAGCTCAGTCTATAGGTAGGACACATACATAGTTAATTAACCATAGTACAAAATGAGATGTCCCTATTAAGTGGTACCAGCAGGAAAGAGTGTCTCCTAGCATTAGTCTCATGCCTGTCCATATGTTTTCAAGACTGCAGTCATGGGCTTTCCAACCACTTTCAACTCCAGCACGGGGTTACGCTGTTCATCTACTCTCTTCTTTGCACCACTACTTAACCTCTATTGCCTCACTGTCACACTAATGTATTGCAATCATTGGTTTCCTAGTCTATCTCCTTCCTAGAGTTCTTTGAGAACAAGGGCTGTCTCTTATTTGACCTTATACCTCAGTGCCTTCCTAACACAGTGCATGGTACATGGTAGACACATTTGAATGATGGCCAACTGCATGAACAAAGGATTGTAGATTCACAAAGGAAGGACTGATAAATTCTACTTAAAAGATTAGTAGGATATCAAAAAAGGTTTCACCAATAAAATGTTATTAGAGCTAGATGACAGAAAGTTCATAGGGGGCAGAGGTACTTTGCCTACCACAGGACCCGGCACAAAGCATCTACAGTAACACAGGATGGATGGGTGAATGGATGGATGATAGATGGTTGGAAGAATAAATATATGTACATACTTTCATGACTCTCCTATCTATGCAACATAGACTTGATTAAAGACAATATAGCAAATCTTCTATTTCTATTATAATTAATCTCCCAAGGTTAAAACGTCTTAAAGTTTTGCTTATTACTCACTAATTTATGATAGACTAAAAAAATATATTAACAGATAGCAGAAAATTCTGGATTTTTTCCAATTTTTTGTATTGTGGTAAAATTCACATAACATAAAATTTACCATCTTAACCATTTTTAAGTGTATAGTTCAATGGTCTATACATGTTTTCATTATATTTCCTACCCAGGGCCACCTTCATAATGCAGACCATTTTAAGTGAAGGGCCTCTTCCTTAACTTTGCCTTTACTGATTTGACACTTAGTCTTAATAGCTACAAGAATCTTTCTAACACCATGGATTCCCTGCCTTCAGTCCTGGGAGCCATCCTAGAAGAATGCACAATGTGGGGAGGTTGAAGGGGGTGATGACAAGTCAGCTTGGAGAGCCAGGTTCTGTTCCCGGCCTTGCCACCCATCAGGTGGATAACACTGCACTGGCAGATCCTCCTTTCCACTGATTTTACGGGGCTCTGAGATAGCCTGGAAACCACTAGCAAAAAGACACTTAAGCATCACCAAGAAGAGGTATTCAATAAATGTTAAAGTACAAGGACATTAAGACAAAAACTGTTTTCTTAGTATACCTAGGCAGCTCTGCCCTCTTCTCATAAGGTCTAAAGAAGTTACTCTTCATATGTTCAAAGGTTAATGAGGCCCTCGGAATTTATGTGTTGAAGAGGGTCATCCTGTACCTGAGTTGTATATATTAGGCTAGAAAGAATCACAGGCAAATTGATTTGGACTAGATGTAGGAGATTAGCCAATTCTCCTTTTTTATAGATGAAGTTCCAGAAGCCCAAAGAAGTGTCAGGGACAGGAACTGTACTGCGAATACAAAGATGAACGAAAGACACAAAGCTTGCTTTTGTGGAGGCTGTTGTCATGGTGGAGTCAGACGTTATACAACTATGAATTTTAGCCAAATGTAATAAGCACTTAAAAATGAGGTTGTGGTTTATATAAAGTAGAATAAATGGAGTACCTAAGCCTGGGGTTTCAGGAAAGAAAAATAATCCTGTTCTTTAACAGTAGGGACCATCTCTTATTCACCCTTATTCTTGACCAGAGCCTGGAACATGGTAGGCACTGACATTTCTGATCAAACAAATGAACTCACACACTTATGCATATGTAAATGTGAAACCCAAACATCTGGATATAAACTGCATAAAACAATAGTTATCTTTACCCAACTCCCTTGGCTGACAACGAGATCCCCTCTGCTAGAACAACAGAAAGCTACAAAAGACTCTTTTGGCCAACACCTCTTGAGCACACTACTTTCTCCTTCCTATCCTCACACCCCAGCTCCTTCTCCCCACCCAAAATGCACTATTTTTTCAACTTTCTGGTTGGCATTTTTTCCCCCAACTGAATTAGTCCTTTTTTATTCTTTTGGTAATCTCTTCCAGAGTTAACTACTTCCATTGTAGGCAATAAAACGTATAAGGCTCCACTTCAAATGCTGGCACTGCTATAAGCACGGTTTTTCCCTTTACTGCAACTGAGAGTTAAAACTTTTGATTATTGTTCTCTATATTCCAGTCCCAGAAGTAGTTTTCACTGTAGAAGTTATCTGAAGATAGTCTTATGCTTTCTAGTCATGGATTTAGTATAAATATGTATTAAACTAAGAAGCATTCTCTCAAATGAATTTAAATGCATTTTATTTTTAGACAACCTACATGACATGTTTTCTTAAAGAAAAACAACACTTCCATTACAAGTAAATCATGGTCAAAATAAATGAAGAGCTCAAGATGACATCAGTATCGTTTGTCTTAAGTCCTGGTATTGTGCAGATGACAAGCAGCAACCACTTATGATGGCAGGTGATAGATCCAAAGTAACTGCCAAATTTGTTAACATTTTTCTATTTCTAAACCATCCTTAAAGACCCACATATGGGGTCGCCCCACCCCCATGCTTGTCCAGCAGAGCAACCATGCCATCTGGATTCTTGTTTTCAGCAATAAAGAACTGCCAGTTTTCGAAATTAACAAGGATGTGCTTGATTTGTCCTACAGCCCACGTCATAGAGGTTTTACTCTTTCTGGTCTCTGTTCTTTGAGTTTGCCTTTCACAGATTATATGTAATCTTTGATGTACTTATTTTATGAAGCTGGTTTTCTGCAATTGATGGTTCATTACAACATCAACACGTGATTATTATGTTTTCGGTACCTTCACCCTTGGAGACTACAGCCCTCTGTCCTCCTAACCATCTTCCCCTCCACCTCCAGGCACAGCCCATCCGCGATCTCCCAGATCTTGTAAACATTGGAGAACATCTCATCCTGGCTGATGAGGTCCGGGTAGATAATCACAAAGGTGGCTGGAGGGAGAGGATGGCAGCACCAGCTTAGCGGGAGCCTGAAGCTCAGAGCAAGCGCGGTGCAGCCAGAGTGGTGCTTGACAGGAGTGGGGAAGTCGGCGGGAAAAGCTGGTTGGCATTTATGTGGATTTCACACACTGTTTTTATCTTCCAGTGCCCCCGCTCTCCACTCACTATTGTACTTGATGTATTGTGCAGATGTCTCTGCAGTAAGAAACCATTCTGAGGAGTCAGGGCTGAAAGAGAAACTGGAAAAGCGTCTATCCCCTACTCAAGAGCCTCATCCTAAACAATTCTCTGTGATGGTGAGTATCTAAAAAAGGCTAAAAGAGCATCATGGAGCTTCTCTGCCTTCCCAAGGCATTCAAAAGAAGGAGTACAGGTATGTATGGGAGAGAGGTGCAAATAACATGGAGCCAAACCTGGGATGCTTAGGCTGGGATCCAGCTAGAACTCTGATGCTATTGTGCTGCTGATGGCTGGGTTATCACTTCTTGCTCTCAAAGATGTGACAGTGGAATTTCAATAACTCTATATGGCAAGTAGAGCACTTTCCAAAGATCTTTACCCTCCTTCCACATAATTTAGTCTTGCTTTATGTTTCTTTTCATCACCTTCCTCCTCTTCTTGCTTCAAGGTGATGGGCCAATGGTGCCTTCATTTCTCTCCTCTCAGGGCTAAGGAGACCCCAGGGAGGGAATGGGGTATACTGGTTGGCAAAACTGGTTCAAATCCTTCCTTCTTCCCTTTGTAGCTGTACAGCCATGGATAAGTAAGTCACTTGACTTCTCTGAAGCCTTTAAAACAAGTATAATACCACTTACCTCTTAGGGTTTGCAGTAAGGATTACAGTAAATATGATGATACATGCGAAAGCATCTAGCAGAGGCACTGACACATAGTAGATACTTAATAAACACTATCTCCCTTCTTCTTTCACTTCTTCCAGGTACCAAACCATCCCGAAACCACAAAGGGGAGGACAGGGTAGAGATACTGGATTTTCCTGGATCCCTCATTTAGTATCTCTCCTTTACTAGGGAGAAGGAGATAGTGGGAGGCAGAATAATTTTAATAAATTATTCATAACGAAATGTAGGAATCAGGAGGCTCTTTTGTGGGGCTGCTGTTTAGAGGAGGTAGCACTGCTGATTGGCCCAGCTCAGTAGATCAAAAAAGAAATTTCTTCATTTTTACATCACTTCTGATACGACACAAAACAGGACAAACTTGCCTTAGTCCTTTTCTCTCTGTCTTCCAATCTGTATACACATCACCCAAAACCCCTTCCAGCCCCTATAAAGAGACTAGAAGAACTCTTTGAAAATAAGCTGTCATGGCAGAGTGTATTGTTTTCAATGTGAGTTTCAATTAGAAGATTTAATTAATGTTATAAAAATACTACTTTCCTTAAACTCTTTCCTAGCAAGCACAATGAAAGCCCTATTGAACATTTAGCATCTTACCTTTACTTTTTCACCATTAATCTCCACTGTCTTAATCATAAAATCAACTCCAATTGTGGCTCCTTGACCTGGGGGGAAAAGACCCTAAAGAAGAAATAACAGAAAAACAAACAAACAAACAAACAGATAAGCAAATCTTTCAATGAAATGAAATTCCTCCCCCTCTTCCCCACCACTACCCTTCCCCAGGCCCTTCCTTTGGCCAAGTTAACTATTACAAAAGAGAACTCTGGTTAGTGTCATGGGAGCCCTGTTTAATTTCACTTTGTATGTATGTTTTGAGGAAGGAGAGAGGAGGGAAAAAGTGGGAGAGAGAAATGTTGAAAGAAGAAGGAGAAAGGGGGACAAAGAAAGGGAGAAAAGAAGACAGAGAGGGTGAAGGGAGAGAATTAGGAAGGGTAGAGGTGACCCAATATCAAAGAATGAAACAAAAATCAGACACAAGGATAAGACTGAGGAGCATGGAGCCACAGGGATGAGATCAGGATTATTAGGGTGGGGACAGAATGGATTAGGTGCTCTACAAGAGGTAAAATCAAGGAAGCTTAACACTGATTATCAGTCTGGAGCATGGACAGACATGGGGATGGACAACCAATATGAAAGACAAAGAAGAACTCAGCATATGAAACAAGAACAAGACAATGAAATGTTTGGATTTTCCTCTGCTTTGATGGTGACCACTATTTTCCTCAGTGCTATGTACTATGGATATATAATTACATGGGAGCAGGGCCAATGACACTGGGAAGATAAACTAAAAATGAAAGTCATCAGGGAGACAGTAGAGCAGAAATCATGCTAAAGCAGGAGGCAGCAGCCTTAGGATCACTGTGTGACCTTGGATAAACCACCCCCACCCCTGGGCCTCAAATTCAATAAGGTTGAGGTTGATAAGTTTTATTTTGAGCATTTCAAAATTTAATCATGCTAAAGCAGGAGGCAGCAGCCTTAGGATCACTGTGTGACCTTGGATAAACCACCCCTACCCCTGGGCCTCAAATTCAATAAGTTTGAGGTTGATAAGTTTTATTTTGAGCATTTCAAAATTTAAAAAAAAAAAAGCTTTACCTCAAACTGGAAACTTAACCAGAAAAATGGGATATTAGCAAAAGTACATGTATTATGTAATTTACTATTACATAATATTTCCTGTAACTTAGGGAGGGAGTTGGGGGTACCAAAAAATTCTGTCAAGAAAGAACTCTTCACCTAGTTTCTCTTCTCTCTTCACTCATATTCCAGAATTTCCAGAAATTAAAGTAAAATGAACTTTATTAGCTCTGGCAGTAAGATTGGGGCATCTTTAATTACGTCCATTTCCTAACAAGAGAGTTCTTTAATTACAGTTTGAACTTAAAAAAACTGAGTTTCAAATCAACAGAAAATGTTCCATTGCATTTCTGCAAAAAATGTAAATATAAACATTCATAACTTTACTTACAAATATTGAGTCAGTTTTCTTTTATTTTGGTTTGGCTCAGACACAAGGCTGCCAAGCTTCAAGTTTATAGCTCCAGCTGTTTTGCAGCTTAACAAATGCCAAAAAATAAAACAAATTCTTCTCAATGTTTCCCCCATCATTTTGTTCCCCAGCCCCTCATGCCTCAAAAACAACTGAATCCAATTCATTTTAACTGTCTACTAAATAACAAAAACAAACATAATCCTGTCTATGAACTATGAACTTTTGGGGAAGTTGAGGAGCCAGGAGACGTGAAAAATAAACAGAAAAGAAAAACAAGAAAGGGGGAGGGAGGTTGGGGGATAAATTGGAAGGAGACAAAGGGTACAAAAGCAATTTCTGGTAATGGATATGTTCTCAATATGAACCTGGCCCCCACATCATGGGCAGGAGGGCAGACAATCAGTTTTGTATCTCATGAATATTCGAAATAAATAAATAAATAGATAGATAGATAGATAAAAAACAAGAAAGAAGAAAAATAAGTGTGCTTGTTGTTAAAAATTAATGTTGGTAAAAATGGAATTATTTTCACCTTTAAAGACAGCGTTTATGCTTTTAAAGAGAAAGTCCCAGTTCCTACGGTTTCAGAGATTACAATATGCAGGAGATATAAATGATCAGACTGAGAAGCAGGAAACCTGGGTTCTAATGCTGGCCTTGCCACCAACATGATGACAGATCCTAAGCAAATCATTCCATCCCTCTAGATCTGAGGTTTTCATCTGCAAAATGAAGAGTGGATTGAATAATCTCTAAGTGACCTTTCAGAAAAGATCAGGGAACTCTTGATAAAGGAACTAAAAACTTCTCTATGTCTCTGCAGTTTAGCAGTCTTGTTCTTCTATCAGAAGCAGAAAGGATTACTAATGTTAGACAGAAGTAAAACCATTTGGATTTTCCAGTGTAACTCCATAACAGTTGACTGAGCTCAGATGCCTATTAGCTTGTTACTTTTGATTTCACCAGGCCAAGGCTTAGTAAAAGCATTGGATCTATTCTGTGTTTATCTATCATGGGAAAAACCCTGACATTTCCAAAGTGACTCAGGGCCCTTATCCAATATGCCTCTCCAGTTTTCCGCAGAACCATAGACTGTCAGAACTGGAAGGGGCCTTGGAGATCAACCAGGAGGTCATGTGCAGCAAGTGTGCAGGGAAGCCTGGGAAGAAGAGGTAACTTACCCAGGCCCACAGGGCAAGCCAGTCCTCTTTCCACAGTTCTAGGTTGCCCTATGCCTTAGAGAGAAGAGCTAGGCTTTCCCAATGAGCATTTTATGAAAATGCAATATACGTAAATAGTGTGATAGTCCTGAAAAGTACACCATTCATATTTTTCAGGGGAGAACACAATAAAAAGTCAACTTCAGAATGATTTTTCACTAATTTCTGTATAAAAATAGGTGTATAACCTTAGGCAGTGATTCTCAAAAGAGCAGCCCCAAAGGCAACTTGTACTTAGGGCACATGACAAAAATTCAATCCAGAGGGAACACTCAATTCAGTTCAGATAGTTCTTCACTGATCTCATTTCATTCCCATTGAAGAGATTTACAAAGTCAGCATATTTGGTTCTAACCCGAAATGACTGACTTGGTTTCCTAGGAGGGTGTGAGGGGGCATAGGTAGGGAGTTTGATTGTTTTAATTTGTATTAGAGTTTTAAAAGCTTAATATTTAGATTCAGTTTGATGTTCAGATTCATTTGTTTACAGCTTTAGATTGTTATTAACTAATAATCTATTTTTTATCTAATAATCTATTTTTGATACTGCACACTGAAAGCAAAACCACTTGCCTCTCTCATTAAAGAAAGCCATAAGAGGCATGGGAGGGTTGGTGGGGACCCACAGAACCATGCACCCTTGAGGTGGTTTACAGAACTTCAGTCTAGGCTACAAAGCTGATGCAGCTTTCAAAGGACACATTCAGAACATGAGCCAAGAGGCTGGCACTGGGACCAGTCACCCATCCCATCAAATTCCCTAACCCCACAGGCTAGACTGAGAAACCCAACCCTGGGCTTCCAAGTTCCCTTACCTGAGTGAATCGTCGGACTAGGCACGTCTTCCCCACACCTGCGTTGCCAATTAAAACAATTTTGAACAGGAAATCATAATCTTCCATACTCATTTACACAGCTGCAAGACAAACACAGGCAAGCATGAGAGGCCCAGTCAGACTTGCCCACAAAGCTCAAACCATGCCAGCCCCGTCTCCTCAGGAATAAAAGGAAATCATAATCTTCCATACTCATTTACACAGCTGCAAGACAAACACAGGCAAGCATGAGCGGCCCAGTCAGACTTGCCCACAAAGCTCAAACCATGCCAGCCCCGTCTCCTCAGGAATAAGAGGTCTGACTCATTTGAAGAGCAATTTAACACTCCCCTTTGTGACCCTGCCAGCAAGAGAGGAACACAGGTGTTCAGTCAGATGAACTTTATCCCTTCCCAACTACCTCATGCCACAGAGACTAAATGACACAGATGTCCTTTCACCTGGTAACCTTTATTCCTCCAAGCAGACAGGTCACAGTTCGCTCCTGTGATAAGATCTGTTCTCTTTTTGCATGAAAATGAGATTACAAATCTATGTGCAGGCAAGCTGGGGGTGCAAAGATGCAGGGAACAAAAGTGAGCCTATCCAGAGCTGAAAGATAGTTTATGGGCTGTGTGTGCCTCTGGGAAGAAATGCTAGTGACTAGGAGACTGAATGAAGAGGAAGGATCCAAGAAGGGTCCTTTCAGTCTCCTGCAAGTTCTGGGGATCTTGGGGGTCATACCAGTGGGAGTTACAGCCATCATTCTCCTTTACCACCAGCCCATTCCTATACACCTACTGTCAGCCATGCTGATGCTACAGCCCCTCCCAAAGTGCTTGTCTTTTCATTCCTATAGGCTTTGGTACACGTCACTTTCTCTGCCTGGGATGCTGTCTCCCATCCTTTCTGAATCATGAAATCCTTCAAGGCCCAATGTAAGCATCTCTTTCTTTCTGAATCTTTCACTGATCTTCCCCAAATAAAGTTAAAAACTCTCATCATTCCTCTGACCTAAAACTTCACTTGTTGTACATAATTATTTGTTCAAAGGTCTGCCTCATCCTTGAGAGGAGGGATTATGCCTTTCAGTTCTATTTTCCTAGCCCCTGGGACAGAATTACACTTAGTAAATGTCTACTTGACAGAAGGAAAGAATTAATGAATGGGCATATTGCTGAAGTGTAGGACTTAGTTTCTCCGGTTGCACTAAAAAGAATACTACATGCTGTGTCTACTTCAGAGGACTGTTGTGAAGATTTTTTAAAAACTATACAAAAGAGCCTCGGTACCCATAAAGCCCTATCCTGGTGAAAGCAATTGTTCTCTGTTGAGTGCTTGTTACACACTGTGTTGATCACTGTAGGAAGTACAAAGAAGAGACAATGTCTGCCCTCAAGACCAACAGGAGCAAAGTTAAATAGCAACAAAAATCGAGCCAGCAGCAGAGCTCATTTCATAAGGTATAGGCAGAGCAAGCCCAGAGGATTCTGGAGGGAGAGGAAAGGACACTCAGTGAGCCCATGAGGGGAAGGGTGCTTGGGAGAGTTAGAGCTGCCTCAGGGTCACTCCCACCAGCACACCTTATGCTCAAATGGCTACAGGCTGTGGGGCAGAGAGGACAGCCCAATGTACCAAACTGGTCAAGTACCTAGGGGAGTAAATTCCCTGTGTGCCAAGGTGATTTCTATGTGAATTTCAATAGATTTTATTTATTAATATATTACCTATTTTATAGGTGAGTAAACTGAGGTTAAAGGAAATTAAGAGGGTAGCCTGAAATCATAAAGCTAACAGCCAGACTTCAAGTTCCAAAGGCATATGGTGTCATCAAAAGAATTCTAACTTTGGAGCCAGAGAGACCTACGTTCAAACCCTGGCTGTACTAAGTCTGTGGCTTTGGGCAAGCAACAATTTTTCAGAGCTTCAACCTCCTCAACAATAAAATAGGGTTAATAACACCTATATCACAGAGTTGTGATGCTTGAAGGAATTGATGGAAACCCCTAAGGACAGTACCTGGTACTGAGTCCCCAAACTCCTTAATATGACTCACAAGCTTTCCACATGGGCAAGCAACAATTTTTCAGAGCTTCAACCTCCTCAACAATAAAATAGGGTTAATAACACATATATCACAGAGTTGTGATGCTTGAAGGAATTGATGGAAACCCCTAAGGACAGTACCTGGTACTGAGTCACCCAAACTCCTTAATATGACTCACAAGCTTTCCACGATCTGGTTTCTGCCTTCACTGGCAGCCCCAGCTCTCACCTCTCTCCTCCTACCCCACACTCTAGGCTCCCTGGACTTTTTTAGTTCCTTAAACACCACAGGATTGCTTTTCTCTTTAGACTTTCAAATATACTGTTCCTTCTGCCCAGAACACAGAACACAATCTCCCCTTGTCGCCCCCAACCAAGTTAAAATTTACTCCCCCTTTAGATCTCAGCTTAAATGTCACTTCCTGTAGTATGCACCTCTGACCTAAGAGGGAGCCTGGGCAGCCCACTCGACACTCATGCAATACCCTCTTCCTCTCCTACGGTCATACTTACCAGGCTTTACTGTAATTATTTACATGTCTCACACTCCAACCCCATCCCTCAGTCCCTCACCCCCCTCCCAACACACACTCATGACTGTGAGCAGCATGAGAGCAATGAAGTAGCTGGTTAATACATCCCCATCATTGTCATCGACATCGTCATCATCTCACTCTACATTGTTAAGTCATTTAATTCTCACAACAATCCTACGAGGTGAGCTCTGGTAGCATCCTAACTTGACAGATGGGGATACTGAGGCACGAGAGAAATTAAATAAGAAGTCGTTGAGGACCCACAGCTGATAAGTGGTGGAGCCAAGATTCAAACCTACATAACCTGGCTCCAGCAACCCTGTCCCTGAACCATGACCCTCTAGTGCCTTTCCTCATGCCTGGCTCCTAGTAAGAGCTCTAGAAAGATGAGATGAATTGAATAATGAAGGGCAAGCACTCAATAAGTGTGATTTCCCTTTTCTCTTCTCCTCTGGCTTCAAGCCCAAACTTCTTTCTACCACACTGTAGTGGTAGAAAGAAGGATCAAAGTCAAAATCCTGATAAAAACTCAGGGACATCGTATGGCAATTAAAACTCAATAAAGCTATTAAATGTGAAAAGAAAATACAACCCGGGGATAGGCACAAGGATGGCAGGAAGACCTGAGGCTCCATGGACCACGACTCGCTGCTTTCGTAAATCAATAAGCAATAGGAAGCACAGGTCTGGGCTGCATTCTTTCTCTGTGCCACACATTTATTTTTTGACCCACACTTATTTCAATATTTTTGTCAGAGGTCAATGAAGCAAAGCAGGGAATTCAGATGAAAATGTCCAAAAAATAAAGATCTGGGAAATAAGGCTTCTAAGAGAAGGTTAACAGTGCCATTTAGGAAAAGAAGGCGAAAGAGGATTTGTCATAGTCAACATTGTCTCATGTGGTTACCACCTGCAGCAAGCCACAGAATAAAAGTTAAGACTCTTCCTCTTTCTGTAAGAAATTACTTTAATTCTCTATTGATTACTTTTAATTTATTTTTATTTTTTTGGTGGGTGGCAAGTACGGGGATCCAAACCCTTGACCTTGATGTTATAACATCACTCTCTAATCAACAATTGAATATTTTTAAATGAACCTCTGGGGTAAAAGTGTTTGGTCTCTTTAAAAACACAAGCTGTTTGTGGCTAAGGCTGGACTGTAAACTCCAGGTTTCCTGCTGTGGTTACTGTTCTGTTTCCAATAGAAAACACGTTACTGAATGAAAAGTTCACAGGATTCTCTGGAAACTACTAAGCTTTGAGGAAGCTCTTCTGTTTGACCCATAAGGTAGCAGGCCAGGCATCACCACTCCCCATGTGGTAAGACAATAAGACAGCATCCCAGGAGGAGGAAACCCATTCCCAAGCAGACTGGCTAGTTACACCCACTAAACTGACAACAAAAGTCATGCCTTGGCGTTGGCCGGTTAGCACAGATGTTTAGAGCACAGTGTTGCAACACCAAGGTCAAGGGTTCAGACCCTTGTACTGGCCATCACCAAAAAATAAATAAATTTAAAAAAAAAAAAGTCGTGCCTTATCTGGGGAGCAAACATATCACAAGATATGCTACTGGCCAAACATTACTGTAGGATTTTATATTCTATTATTGTTAACAATAACAATAGCTGACACTTATAAATGCTTATTATCTGCCAGGTACTCTTCTACATGTATTCACTCAAATGATCCTCACAACAACCCTATGATGTAGATACTCTTGTTAACATCCCTAACTTGTTATGAAGGAAGAGGAAGAAGAGGAAACTGAGGCACAGAGATCATATGCTGCTCCTCACAGTGCTCCCCAGCCCAGATCTCTTAGGAGTTGGACTCTCTTTTCCCCACATACCATTCCCACAATTTAGTCATCATTCATCAGGGAATATAAACAGGAACACTGATCAGATGAACAAGCAAAATCCCAAATATCATAATCACCACAACCATCCTAAATAAATGCATTACATGCATAAGACTCAAAAAAAATTTTTTTTTGATAAGGAAAAGGAAAAAATTAGTTTAAGACATAGGAAATGATATCTAGTATGAAAAGCTTAAAAAGAAAAACAAAAATTATTCTAAGCAACATGAATTTGGCAACAACCCATTTTTTTATAGTGATCTTTAAAAAGTACAACTGTATTTACTGTTGCACATCTGTGCATTTTCCCCCTTGGCCTTTGGGGCTCAGTATAACAGAGAAAGTCAGCCAGATTCCCTTCCCCACTTTCTGACTCCCAGCCCCTGCCTCCAAAAAATATTTTGGGGACTTGTCCTTGTTCAAAAACTATGTGTCTCCAGCAGGTCCTTTTCCCCTGCAGGGCCTTGACGTTTGTAAATGGAGACGGCTGGGTGAATAGGCACCAAGGTCCCTTCCCAGGACAGCATGTGCTGTCACTCACACCAAAGAGACAGCATGGGTAATGAAGCCGAGAGACCCAGGTGTGTTCAAGAGCAGTGCAGTTTCCTTCTGCATAAAATGGGGATGATATGAGAACCTATATCACTGTGTCGCC